GATTTATGATCACCTGGGTTTAGAAAGCCACGCTAGATCCGAATCCTGAGCATTCACAGTTCAGCGTGTTAAAGATTCAGAGTCCTAGAACAGACTTAACTTTCACCTGTGAGTTCTAAGCTACCTGCCCAAGGGTCTTTTCGTACCTAAGGCTTGATCTTACCTGAAACTACAGGCACGGGCAGTGCCAGTTAAACAGTAGCTTTGGGCTCTTTCGTAAACACAGCTGTGAACGGTCAACTCGATGCTCAGTGGAGAGCCTCAGCCCCGAATAACCCTTGATGGAAAAGGCGGTACCCTTGCCCTTGGGACGGCACCTGTGTGGGGCTCACCTTCCGCCCAAAGGGCCTGCACCGGAGACGCCCTGCGTGGCCCTCAGGACACGGGCAGCTCGGGATGCCCGTGCCGTGCGCCGTGCTCGTTCAGGTGTGCGCTGCACGGGAAGGTCTAGCCCACATTCTCCTGTAGGCTTCATTTAAGGCCAATGCATCCCCGCTGAGGGTAATATATACTAGGGAGCCAGGCATGGTGGTGCACACCTGCAAGCCCGGCACTCTGGAGGCTGAGGTAGGAGGATCACTGCAGGTGTGAAGCCAGCCTGAACCACCAAGGGCTAAGACGGAGCACATGGCCCAAGAAGAACCTGCCATTAAGTGCCCTCGTCTCCCAAGCCCAGAGGCCCCCTCAGCTTCCCCACTTGGGCCCTAGTTAATCCTGCTTTCCTTAAGCCATAGGATTTAAAATAATCCTACTTCCTCATCCATCTTGTTTTTCTACTTTGTTTCATTACAAGTGCTGAATCACCTTTTGACCGCGTGTCAGAACATGCGTTGTGTTTTCTGATAACTGAAGCTTGATTGACCCATGAGCCCTTGGAAACCTACCCACTGTTGCTATGGGAACGGCGTTCCCCAAACAGCTTGAGTGCGCTTCGGTCATACCTTGTTTGCAAGTTGAAGGCTTCCTCTATGGGGAATTATTTTCCCCTCTTGTTTCACATCTCTATTATTTTAATTAGATTAAAATGGAATTTGCACAAGGTGTCGCAACTAACCCTGCATATTAACTTGGTGACAGTAATGACAACTCAAGCCTGAGGAAAGCGTTTAATCTGCTGCACTGTGCGAGGCATTTTGTTCACACTACTTGCCTTAGTCCGCGTGAGGTGGAGAAAGGTTTCCAAGGGGCCTAAGACTGGGTGTCAGCTGCCTGCAGTCACACAGTGAAACACGGTGACCCTGGCACAGAATAAAGCCGCGCAGTCCGTAGCCCCTTGTGCTTTGTCACCCTGTGTAAGGTGATATCCGCATCCGTACGTCCAGGCCGTCTGGGAAGAAGCTGCACGACCTCGAGGGCCTGAAAATTCAGTTTCCAAAGATTAATAATGTTGGCTTTTCAGTTGATTGTTCTTTTTCAGTTCTGGGGATGGAACCCGGGGCCCGGTGCGCACTAGATGAGGCTCTAGCAACAAACCAAGCCATACCCCCCGGCCCCGGGTACTCACTGTCGGCTAAAGATGGCCAAAAAGCAATTTGCTAGACATGAATCCTTATTCAGCATTTAAATTATTCAGGACTGGTAGGAAGTGTGCACCTGTGGACTGATGTCTTTTTCTCCTGAATAAATGATTTGAAAACAACTCCACGAACAGGGCCAGTGGCTCCACCGTTCTCAGGCAGCTGGAAAAGTAACTGCCGGCTGCCTCAGGCATGTCCCCTGCTGCTGGAGCCCCCAGCACCAACCACTGGGGCCTAGTTGTGTACCGCCCTATCAGGTCATGGCTCGAAAGAGAAGAGCAGCGAGTATAGAAATAACGGGATTCTTACCAACGACCCACGCGTTCTCCTAGGGAGCTGGTGCTGAGACCTTCAATCTTACCTGGCACCGTATGAAGTGTCTGGTGTTACTGGTGGCTCTAAAACATTTTGCACATAATAGCATCTTCCTAGTTGCCTAGGTTGGGCTCGAAATTCTGATGCTCCTTCCGCAGCCTCCCAGAGGGCAAGGGTCATGGGCATGCGCCACCACAGCCCTGCACCACAAGTCCTCGGGGAGATTCCTCAGGCAGGCCGTGGGACCACCCTCACGATGTCACCAGCAAAGCAGCCAAAATCCTGCATGCTCCTCTCCACTGACATGCTGATTGGACAGTCACACTCTGGCATGTGTTATCTAATATCTAATACTTGTGGGTCATTTCTGCATCAACAACTTGGGTGCCGACGCTGTTAGACTAACAGGAGCCTGGCTTGCTGCGGGGATGACTTGTTAACCAGATTTGGCTCCGAGCTGTCTGATGGGGGGCCAGGTGCCCGGCAGCTGACCTGCATCCTCCAGGACCTGCTCAGAACTCTCAAAGTTCACTCACCTTCCCAGAGAGCTTTCTGGCTGGAGGCTTCCTCCTCCCAGCCAGCCCTCAGGAGCACCAGTCCTCTGCCACAGCCATAACTTTGTGGCCTCTTACTTTCTGTCCCTTGTGAGAAGTTCCATTCATTACCCAATATTTCCCTGAAGAAGCTATACATACTCACACCTGAAAGCCCAGTTAGTTTTGACAGCTGATGGGTAACAGTCAATCTTGGAAATTTAAATAATATGTCTCTTTTAATGATACATTCTGGAAACATAAGACCATTGGGCTAAATCTGCTTCAAAATCTTCCTAAGGCAAAGGACTGGCCCCAATCCTTTGTGGATTGGAAGCCTGGGCTGGTGGACAGATGGCAGTGCCAGGAAGCCCCAGCTGTCCTGACGGGAAGTGCGCCTTTCCCTTGGGTGGGCGGACAGCTCCGCAGGGAGCTGGGCTGCCTCAGAACCCGCGCCCTGGGCCAGCAGGAGCCGTCCCTCAAAGGATACTGTCCTGGGAGAGCAGGATGTTGAAGAGGCTTGTGGCCAGCCAGCTGGTGTCAGTTCCGTGAGCCCTGATCACTCAGTCAGACCTTCTGTCAGATTAGATGATGCACATCTGTCGTCAGCATCATCCCAAGTCACTTGTGCTCCGCAACTGAGCAGAGCCGGAGCCACTCTGGCACACCATTTCCACAACCACTTTCTGAGGTCCTTTTCCTCACCATCAACCCTGCCAGAAATTGCTGGCGTTCATTCGAGCTCATCGGTATTCCAGGACCTTTCTGGACAGGATTTGTTAGTAATGCCCAAGTTACTGCTTGACAATCTCAGAGGTTAAAGAATCTCTCTTTGTAATTTATTAACTAGTACCCAGCCGGGGATCTTTGGAAACCCTAGCACCAAGACAGCCCACACACCACCGGTGCGCTTGGTGTGGTCTTGCCGGGAACCAACCCAATTGCTCTCTCCTGGGGCTCTCCCAGGCCTTAGGGGAGCAGAAG